TAGAAGGATGAAGTTCAGGTTGAATAAAAAAGTGTAAAATTTATTTAACAACCAAACCATTTTAAGCATGTTGCCTATTTTCCCATTATAAAGTCAGTAAAATTAGATTATTTCATGATATAAAATTAAAGTATAAAAAAGTTAGCTTCAGACTTCCATAGTAGACAAGAGATACAGTTCACAAAACCAATTACAATTTTTCTTTTTTATGGTACTGGGGCTTGAACTCAGGGCTTTACACTTGCTAGGCAGGTGCTCTATCACTTGAGCCACTCTGCCAGCCAATTATAATTTTTCAATTTTCCAAAACATCAGGTAAAATATAAAATATTCTCAAAATATAATATCATCAAAAACAATAGAATTTTTTAAAACACTGCTTAACATTGTTGAAATACCCAGAGTGCTTTCAATAAAACAGCACAATAATGAATAAAGAAAAAAGGAAATTTCATAAGATTGGAAAATAAACACTTTGCAAGAATTCTCTTGACAATAAGGGCGAGTCTTTTCTCAGACACTTAACTTGAAGGCCCTGTTTCTTTCAAATAATTACTCCATCTACCTCTGTCCATGGCTTCTGGGGTTTTGTTCATGGAAGATTTTAATTCTCTTCCTTCTTTTATCTTGGTGGCTGCCTTTAAAAGATTTGTCTGAAGGTATTTTCTTGCCTAACTCCTTGTTCCACTTACCCCACTGAGGGGCAGATTACAGATCTTCCCTCTCAGACCCTATCACGCACAAACACTGAACCTGAGATTTGAGCTGTGATCTCATTGCAGCCCTGGTAATCTTTATTACTGCCTTTTCTGATGCAGGGGATTTCTGGGTGAGGATTAATTAACAAATGAGCTGTTCAGGTAATCAGATCAGACACATTCGGTACATGCAGAAGAATTACACTTCCCTCAGCATTTAGTGTTTTACCAACAGGGGCTGGTCAGTCACTTGTGGGTTCTCAAGACTGCTCCTGTTCGTGTTTAATCCAGTCACAGTAACTTCAATGCTTTCTTGCATACAACAGAGCCTTATTTCCCAGCTATTGTTGAGAAACCTTCAAGTCCTCAGCCTATATGCTAATATTTTATGGAGCATCCATGCTATTGATGCATTCAAAGCCAAGGTCAAGTTTGAGCTGGTTTTCTAGCAGAATATAGAAGATCAGGAAACAGTAGGAAAGTTCTCTTTAAACTGTTCTCTATCTCCAGATTTTCTGGATAAGGAGAACTTGAATGGTCCCTAATTTCCAAGTTTCAGACAAAAAAAAAAAATCAGCTAACCTACAGGACTCTCTTCAGCAAGACAAGGTTTGGTATTCAAGGTTAAGCTGTGCAATAGTAAAACAGCACAAGAAACACACACATAGACACCCTTTTATCATTACTGGCCAATAGGTTTCTTCTTTCCTAGGACAGAAAGAACTCCCATCTGCTACTTGTCTCAAAATTAAGAGATTGAGGGGAAAAAAAAAGAAGTCTTCCAAGCAGTAAAAAGAAAAGCATTTCTGGAATTATAAAAATTCGTCTCCAAGATGGTATCTGACTGACATGATATGATACATGACATGGCAATAGCCAGAGGTTAGGTACAGGAGGCCTGAAAGATGACAAACATGGATATACGAGTATCTCTGGTGGCGATGACTCACCCCACCCCCCAAGAAGGGGCAGTGCAGGACAGTCCTAGGACATCCTGTTCAGTTTTAGCATCCGACTAAGCTTGAGATTTAGGCGTAGTAGGATATTTGGGTCAAAACCTGTAGAACTACCCAGCTCTGCCCTCTTGACTCATACTACACTCACCACCATTAGAGACCTGACTTCCGGATCAGTCCCAAAGAGGGCTTTCTCTGGAATGCCAGTGACCAGTGACACTGCTGGTCATCCTGGAATCACAGCACTTCCCACATTCCTGAGATGGGAGTCAAAACAGTCTCTCACTCAGAAGCTAATCTGGAATCAGAGTATCTGATCCAGTCGTACTCTTTCTTATACTACTTCCAGTTTTAAACAAAAAAGAAAGACAAAAGAGAAAACACTAGATTTTTTTTTCTTCTGTAAAGTCACAACAAAAAAATGGATGCAACCAGAGGAATTAGAATTTATGCAAAAAAAAGTGCTCTGCTAGTATTTGGGGAGATCATGTGAGATCAAAAGCTTAGAGGAAAAGAGGGGGCCAGGGAATTAAGATCTCTAGGAAAAAGCAGAAAATATCACCCAACAAGATTTTGCCATGTGCTGGGAAGTTTTCATAAACTTGGTGGTGAGGCAAACCAAGTAATTAATGGCTATGTAACCACCACTCAATCATTTGCATGGCCCAGGACCCAAAAGTACAGGCATCTGGTAAAAAGTATTTTACACAGTGGTCTCCAAACCACTTCTAAGCTTTGACATACAAATCTTCAGAATTGAAGTATATTCCCAACCATTTTATCTAGGTCAATTCAATTCTATGGACTCCCAGGCCATAGAACACCGCTGAGCTTTTTTAGTGTTTGTTATGCTGGTCATGTAAATCTTTTGATGTTTATATATTTTTAATATTTAAAAAGATTTATTCTCACAGGGACAATATGATCCACTTAATCATCAGGCCAAGATATTAAAATTCTAATATTTTTGCCATTCTTACTATGATTCTTGAATTTTTCTCTCCATTAAATATTAAAGTTAGGGGCAGTAAACAGTGATGAAGCAAGTTTATTTTAAGAAATATAACCAATATTCTCCATAGCCATCTATGCATATAATCTACCCTGACATACCAATCCTTTGAGTTATAGATAAAGGATCCATAATTAGCTGCTTGAAGACTCTGAAAGCTCTCAATTCACCATCCACAAAGCACTCAGAATGGACTTAAATATCTGTGTCCCATGGTGCAAAGTTTAGGTTACACACAGTCATAGCAAAAGCTTACCTCAAAGCTTTTTCATAGCCCAGATGCTCAGTGGACTGGGCATGATGGTAAGGAAGGAATATAGGCTTTTAGCTGAACAGCCTGGAGCCACTTTTCAGAACGCCACAAATGGAGTATATGCCATGTTTACTGCCTAGCCTCAGGGTTAAGGTCAAGGGAAGAGTCCCCTTAAAGATCTGTCAACCGCATATTATCCACAAAATGCTCAAAGTGAGTTCATTGTCAGGAGGGATTCTTGATACTGTCAATCACCCCTTCACCTGCACAGGTTTGTTTGGCTGCCACTTTCAACTCAAACCTTTTTTCTTGGAAGTTAAACATAAGTTTCCAAATTGCAATTTTATTATCACATATACAAGGTATTCCAGATAGAGTAAATGAAAACATAAAACTATATACATTGCAAGTGCTCATAGATATCTTCAAATGCTACCAAACATAAACCATTCAACTTTTATATTGCAAATGTAACTTCAACTAAACTATCTCTGATTGTCATTGAGGCCGTTCACCAATACGTGTTCCATTCTTCCTGGCGCACGGTAGGATGCTTCTGACCCTCCTGCTGAACTCAGAGTGGGCATGTGGCTTGCTTAGCCAGTGAGTGTGAGCAGAAGTCTCACTTCCAGGAGGAAGAATCAGGGTCCCTTCACCATGTTCATTTCTTCCTCTGCCACCACGATTATCAACGTTCTCAAAGTCAGCCTAGATCCCTGAATAAAGATGACAACAATACACAACAGAAATAGGATATGACCAAAAAAGTAAAACAAAAAAACAGAACACATGTTTTACTTTAAATGATTGAGCTGCTTCAGGGATTCTCTGCTACTACAATATAATCTAGCTAACACATGATAACCTAACTGAAGCGCATTCTTACACAGGAAATATTGGAACACCAAGCATTCTGGCAAATGTTACCCTAATGCAAAACAGAAGACACTCACACTATATCTATTATTTGGTGACATATGCACAATATGTAGGTGTATTCCACCGATAGCCACTTACTAAGACAAATTTCTCTGACCTCCATCCCCCACTCAAAACAAAAAAAAAAAAATGTTTGCAGCAATTGGATAATCTAGGTTCTTCAAAATCTTAAAAAAAAAACAGAGTTCCCCATTTTGAGCCATTGTCAAAATCATTTGAGAGTTCCACTTCTATTCTGAGGCCAAGTACATCAACCAAGCACAGAACTTCAAAGGGGCCTCACTTTGAGGGACCCAACAGACAAATAAATTAGCTGCCAATTGTTCCTTTGTAATTGAAGAGGGCCAGGCTGACCCAAGGGGAGAGGACTAAGTCCAGAAGGGAACCATCCAAGCAAAAACAGTATTAGGGATCTTACGCAAACCAAAAAGCCATCCTACACCCGCTCCTTTCCAAGGGTGTTAAGTTTGAGCCAACCACATATGTGTGTATTTACAAATAGGAAAATGCAAATGTCCTACATCTGATGCATTTTTTTCTATGCTACAACCCTAAGAGACATTTTTGTGTCTGGAATATATATTTGAGCATTATGCCCAAGTATGACAGCTTATAAACCTGATGGCGTGTTTCATGCCCACGACCTGCACAAAGATTTCCCCTTGAAACTGTGTAACTCTGGAAGGTTTTCTTCTTTATTACAGAAAAGAATCACTTGAGAGTTCTCATTTAAGTAAGGAAAAAACTGTCCGTTTTCAATTTGCAGAGCTTTAAACTAGTGACTCAGGGAGAGATGATGTCATATGTTATCCTGCAATCGCTAGTGGCTGTCCGCTCACTCAAGCCATTCCCTCTCTGCCTGTGGCAGACAGCACTCTGGGTTTCCATTCTTTCGGCAGCTTCTTCCCAGCCAGCCTGACTAGCAAACAGCCTGACTAGCAGGATGAAACAGGAAGTCTGACAGCTTGAGTCTGCGCGGGACCCCTAGTGTTTTCCCACTCCATGTCCTGGCATGGTTCCCCAGAAGTACAAACACACGCACACAGAGCTCCATTGTCACAGCCCTCTCCAGCCCACTGATCCTAATATGGAATGCAGCAGGAAACCCATGATTTCCTGACACTCGCAGGCAGGAGGAAGCAAGGGGAAAACTCCATTAAAAAGCCCAGCTTCCCTCCATGTTAGATGTGAAGTGGAAAATGGGGAAGATTTAGCAGAATCCCACAGTGTCTTCAGCCAGGCTGGAGAGGAAGACAGCAGAGGGAAAGCCTGAGGCTGCTGAAATTTCTAGACTGTCAGGAAGTCCCTAGAAGTCTGTGGAAATGAGGCTTTCCTACCTCAACGTGATAAGGGAGAGGAACAGACCTTTTTAGTGATTTCCCCCAAGTGTGTGTTATCTTTCTTTCCCAGTATGGTAGGCAGCAGGGCGTGCAGGAGCCTCGGCTGTGACTGTGTGATCCGAGGTAGCCACAGTAAAGCAGACTGAGCCTCCTGCCTGGCGCTGGCTTCCCCTGCTTCATGTGCTTTGGAGGCAGCAGCAGCAGCCACAGCAGCTGGAGCCGCAAGGATGAACTGCAGAGAGGGGGACAACAGCAGCTGCAGCTGCGGGGGCACCGACGAGAAGAAGATGCTCAAGTGTGTGGTGGTTGGAGACGGTGCAGTGGGCAAAACCTGCTTGCTGATGAGCTACGCCAATGACGCCTTCCCCGAGGAGTATGTGCCCACTGTGTTTGACCACTATGCAGGTAAGAAAAAGTGGGAAACTCTCTCTACAGTGTGGGAGGCCATATCCCAAGTTTAGAGGGGCCTGGCTTACCTGCAGTGCCAGTGCTGGGTGGTGGGCCTGGCAGGCACCAGGTAGCTTGGCAACATACACAAGCAAGGACTTTGCTGGTACTGTTGGGAGAATTTGTGTTATCAGTTTATATTGTGTCACCTTTTCTCCTTAAAGTAAATGAATAATCCTAGGGAAATACCCTGAGCTGCTCTCTAGACTTTGGGGCCTAAATAGTACTCAACTTTTTATTGTGAACATTTTAAAATGTAGCATAATTACATCAGAATTCCTATTAAAAAAAATAATCACCCTGAGACACACACTGGTGAAAGATATCTCCTTACCAGGTTTTATCCACTCACTTCTTGCCATTCATAAATGAAAATGCTAAGATTAATAAATAAAGCACTCATTTGATTTTCTGTAGTACTTGGTGCCAAAATACTGGACTTTCATTTTCCTGTGGTTGTGAATGGAAAAAAAAAATATTAAAAGGTTTTAAATATTGATTAGGAAATCTGTGTTTGGATTTAAAGAAACATTTTCAGTTAGTATCTTTTAAAAAGAACACAAATAGAATTAAAATCATTTTAAAGTATGTCTGGAAAAGACAAAATTGAGCATAAAACATTAGAAAGCCTACAGTCACACCTTCTTTCTTTCAGTGGGCTTTCAGTGTTTGAGTGTTCTATAGTTTGTAGGAAGACTGGGCAGAGCAGTATCAACATCTAAATTTTCTCGTTTTGTTTTTTTGGGTTTTTTTTAAATGTTCTCATTTGGATTCTGACTCTTTCTTCTAACTTCCAAAACAGATCTTACTAAGTTTCTCATATGCAAATTCATGAAATCCTGTAAGCTCATAGTAGCCTAAGTTTCATAACTTTTTGAACATAGAGACTGGCAAGGCAAGTTATCAGAGATTTGAGATCTTGTGAGAGGAGTTTTCTCTTCCCTTACCTTGGCTTTGAATCCCGATCAGCAAAGAGGAAATGGCCCACTGGAAAGCAGTGTGAGTGTTTGCATTGCTCTGTGGCCGTTTAAATCCTCCTTCTATAGAAAGTAGCTTCTTTTCCAGACCTACACAATCACTTAAGTCTTTCTTCCTTCTGTATACATGCTTTATGGCAATATTACATAGCAAACGGAGAAAAAGAAACTAGGAATATAGTATCCATTTCCCAGAAGGTTTTCTGTATTTGTAAAAATTATGAGCAACTTTTAATACTGGATCCCTTAAGCTTTTCTGAAAATATAATAAATATGCCCAGTGAAGAGCATTTCAATGAGAACAGAATAAAGAGGACAGATAAACTTTCATCTTGAGAAAAAAATTAATTATAAAATTTTTGATTCTGTGCCTTGAGGAAGTTACTCAGATTCTGGTCTGAAAACATCATAAAATTATTTATTCTACCTCTTTCTGCCAGGAAAGGAAAAGTAGCTAGTTTCTTATTTCAAAAACTTTTAGATCAAAGGTGGAACTCAAAATCTACTAAAAGGAGAGGTTTCAAATACTTAGGAAAATTGTGTATCCAAATCCCCATCAACTAGGTGAACCAATTACAGTGGTGTCAGAAAGAAAGAGGATTAAACCATCTTTGGAAATAAAGCCAGCCAATTTCCAAAAAAAAAAGAAAATAGCATTAGAGATCAAACCAAGGCACGATTTCTCTAGTATCAAATTGTTTTATATTTTGATCATGTACACACTTACTGGTTGGTGTATAAGCATCAAAACTTCTCAAAGACTGATTTTAGCTCCCCAAAAATCACTGCCACTGTGTTGAGAGTATAGTAGGAGTTGCTAAACACAGTGGCTTTGATTTTCACTTTGTACTTAAGTATGAAATCATTTCACGTGCTTTCAATAAGGTTAAAACAGAAAGAAAGACACAAGTCTGCTATATCTAGGAAAGAGATGAAGCAATCATTTCATTAGGCTGAGGCAGGAGGATCATGATTTCGAGGTCATCCTGGGCTACAGCTTTGCCTCAAAAAAAACCAAAAAGGTCCCCTGAAGATTTTTCACTAATAATTGTGCATCCTAGGAAAATGTATATGTAACAGTAAGGCTGGAAATACAATATACTGAAGGTGAAGAACTCTAAAATCTCACAATCCAGTTTTCATCCTGCCTCTGCCATTACTCTGTGGCCTTCAGCAAGTTACTTTACCTCTCTCTGCCTCAGTTCTGATGAAGTTAAAACAGAGATAATAAAGGTATTTGAATTATTTTTGAGAACAAAATGAATTCATATACGTAGTTCTTAGTGCCTCATGTGTGGTGTTAGATTTTTGGTGGTATTATTATTTAGAATAAGATCTGTACAATTGCACATATCTATGAAATTTAATTAAAATGTAATTAAAAGAAGGGATATGGCTCAGTGGTAGAATGCTTGCCTATCAAGGGTGAGGTCCCGAGTTCAAGTCCCAGTACCACCAAAATAAATAAAAATAAAATGTAATTAAAAGATAAAGAGGTCAACTTTTCTGCTACCTTCTCTGTCACTTCCCAGCCACTAAATGTTTACATACCTCAGCTTTCAGGCCTTGATCCTCTTCTCTATTTAGGTTTGTTGATTGTATCTAGTCTCACAGATTAAAATATTACTTATGTACTGCTAACTCTCAAATTTATATTTCAACTTCCCCAGAAAAACACTGACCACTCATATACCCAACTGTCCACTGGATATCTAATAGACACTCAAACTTAACCTGTCCAAACAGAAGTTTTCAATCCTCCCCACAAACTCCTCTTCACCTAGTCCTCCCATCAATAATATTACCATTATCTTCTACCCAATGACTGAGAACAAAAACTTCGGTATTACCCTAAACTCTTTTGACAACATCTTCCTCCCTGTCCATTCAAACTATTATTTAGTATCACTTGCTTCTCCTACCAATGAGCTGGAAATTCAACATACAGTACAACCCAAACCCATTCACTTGCCACCACCCCCATTGCTTTTTCTCCTGTCCAAACCACCACCATCTCCTATCCAAACTACTATAATGGCCTCCCAGCTTCTTCCAATCTTATACCCTATAGTCAATTCTCCACACAACTGGAAGAAGGACTAGCCACAGTCTAAACTCCTGCAATCACTTCCATTATTATTCAGACCCCATTCTTTATCATGGAGTACAAGGCACTGCATGGCTTTGTTTTCTCTCCCACCACATCTCTTAACATGTACTTCTTCAATATTTCTACTGTAGCCACAATAGCCATCTGGCTATTCATGAAACACACCAGACTCCTTCTTTCCTTAAAGGCTTTATACTTTTCCTTGCCCTAACCTAAAACTTCCCCCAGATCTTCCTTAGCTTCATTTGACCACATGTTGGTCACATGTTGTCACATATAGACATACACACACAGTCACTCTGTCTTCTTATCCTGCTACATCTTTCTTCACAGTATTTAACACTATATGACATTATATATTTATTTGCTCTCCTTGATTTTTAATGCAGAACCTGGATTGTAGATAATCATCAAATAATTAGTATGTCTTCATTTTGGTCTCTCCACATTTAAGTAGTTCCTGGTCTATTAAAATTTTGATGAATAGGACTGGGGATGTAGCTCAGTGGTAGAACACATGCCTATCATGCACAAGATCTGAGGTTTGCTCCTAAGTCCTAGAAAAAAAAAATCTCTGACAAATAAGTGAACAAATTGCTCATCTAAGAGTATTCTGTTTTGTAACTTTTGTTCACATTTTAGGTAATTATTTTATCTCTACATAGTTGTCATACAGTGTTAAATTCTCTAGCACCACATCTATGAACTAGTGTAACTCTATAGTGTGTAAATGTTACTAGGGATTCCTCCATTTGTATTACTCTCAAAGCTAACCTAAATTTGGAATGGCCCACTCAAACACTTGTAATTCTTATATGCAACACATGTTCCAGAGTAACCCTAAGTACAACTAAGGACTAAGACGGAAAAAAGTAGGGTCAGTGGGATGAAGATAGAAAGGGTCACTCATGTTTGTTACAAGTGTACCTAAAAAAGCTCTCTGGGCCCTGCTCCCTACTCCAGTCCAGGGATGGCCTTTAGTGTTTTCACAGTTTGCCATGGAACAACCCCATATCTTCTCCAATCCTGTCTTTAGCCTTGAGTTTTGCAGCAGACTTCTTACTGATAAAATATTCTTCTCAATTAATGTTTCACATGAAATATGATGTAAGAATGAGACTTCCATTTGAGTTTAGCTGGATTGTGGGCATGGTTTTATGTCTGGACTCGTGGGCATATAAAATAAGCTGATTTTAGTTGAAATGTGTCCATGATGTACCTAACTCACTGTTTCTATCATCCTCTGTGAAATTGTGTCTAAGGGTCTTTCTTCTAACACTCTTCTCTCCTAGGGCTCTTTTGTCAAAAGCCATCAAATTGGAAATTTGCTTTAAGCCAATATTTGTAAACCTGGGGCTCTTACGCAGAAAATTAACACAATTGGAGGAAAATCCAAGTTACTCCATCAGTTGAACGAGATATAAAAGGAAGTTGTTTTCATAGAGAACTGAAAGTCAGTTCTAACTTTTTCCACCAAATTGAATGGTAGTTGGCCCAAGGTAGACTCAAGTCACAATGATAATGGCCAGAGTGGGGTGGGGGGAGAGACTATGTACAATCCACGGGGGTTAAGGTGATAATAAAATAACAAAGAGTGAATAAAAACAAAGTTCCAAGCCTATAATTTTAAGCTGTGACAATGTTGCCTAGCATGCGTGAGGCCTTGGGTTTGGTTCTCAGCACCACAAAAAATAAAAGAAAGCCTGCTCTGGGATGGGAAGCTGTCTGTGCTGATACACAGTCCCCCTGCACTCCATCTTTAGCCAGAAACACGCCAAGGATTATGACCAACTCAGACTCAGCAGACAGGCTCCCTGTGAATAGCGTTTAGTCCTACTTGGCCTGGCTCCGTTCACTGTGCAGTTTAGGAA